AACAACTAGATATTAATAAGTAGTCGGTTATATACTACTTACTAAATCTTAACACCTTTTTTTTTTGCGCAGGGGGAGAAAAGATCTATATTTATAATATTTATAACTTAAACCCTAATAGTATTATACAGGAACTACCCCTACTACTAAATAATACTAAAGCGGAATATATTCTTATCGGAGATATAAACCTATACTATCTGCTATAAAGAGGAGTTCGAGTTATATAAATTAAAGAGTAAGCAGAGGAGCTCCTTCGTATTACGCGCGAAGTAGGCATAGACCTAGCTATAGAGGAAGGGCTAGAAATATAAGTAAGAGGAATATTATAGTCTATAATTAACCTTATATTTATAACAGGGTAGCTAATAGAATAAATAATTTCCTCTATAGTATAAAAGGAATAGAACTGCGACTTTAATCACCGGCCTATATATATAGAGTTTAATATCTTACTACTAAAGGCAGCTAAACCCCCGCAGTATAGGCTATAGAAAGATATAGCATAGAAAAAAGTATAAGAAAACCTAGTAATACGGCTAGATAAGCTAGAAACTTAGAATAACCTATAGGAAATAAAGGAAAATCTTAATATATTTGCACACCGCCTATATAAGTATATATAAGCTATAATAGATAAAACTATACTACTTATAAAGCTATTAAAATAAGTATTACCTGTATAGTTAATAGAGTATACTAAGGAAGTATAGGAGATAAGGCGGGTTTATAGAACCTAGCGCTTATTAAAAATAGTAGAGAACTGGATTTTATATAGAGTATAGTATAATAGAAAGAAAAGGGCTATATATAAAAAGAGTATAAAAGTATAGCGCCGCGCAGTAGATAAGATTATATCGGATCCGAAAAGCGTATAGAAGCTAGCTAAATAAGGCAAAACTATTAGAAAGGAACTACAGCTACTGCCTTAATTTCCCCTTTTTTTACGGCCTAATAATACAACGCTTTATATAGATAATAAAACTAAGGCCTAAATACTTATAGAATAGTTCTTCCTACCTTCTATAAAGGCAGACCTTTCTAATATTAAAGAATACTAATACCTAAAGCTATATAAGTTCTTATAAAATATTATAGTAGAAAACGTCCTCTCCGCGCTAATAGAAATAGCCCCGGATAAGGCCCCAGGTATTATAAAGATAACTAACAGGATTTTTAAGAAATATAAAACGTAGCTAGTACTAATACTAGCTAGGTTCTTTACTAAGTGCGTATATATAGGGCACCACCTATAGCTATATAAAGAATTAATTACTATAGTACTATATAAGCCTTAGAAAGCGTTCTATAATATAGCAAAGTTATATAGGCTAATTATACTGCTAGAAATAGTAGGTAAGCTACTTAAACGTATTATAGCACGAAAACTATCTAAAATAGCAGAGGAGAAAAGTATGCTCCTACTAAGCTAAATAGGCGCAAGGCCCGAATAATTTACGTAGATAGTACTAAAACTTTTTATAGAATAAATATAAACTATATAAAAGGGCAACTTTTACCTTATTACCTTTTTTCTTAGCCTAGATATTTTAGGGGCCTTTAATAAAGTATTTTATAAGAGAATAATATATAACCTATAGGTCTAATATATACCGGAATAGATAGTCTAATTTATAGAATTATTTCTATAGAACCGAACTATAAAACTCTCTATTAAAAGATATATTGCTAAGACTATTCTAGTTAATACAGGTATACTATAAGAATTCTTACTTTTACTAATCCTTTTCTTATTCTTTATAAGTATACTCCTGCCGGCACTATAAAAAGGCAATATAATAGCCTACAGGTTTATAAACAACACTAATATCCTTATATTTAGCAGAAGTACGGAAAAAAACTATAGGGTAATTAAAAGTGCGCATATATAGTGTATAGAGTGGGCGAAGAAGCATAGTATAGTATTTGCCCCGGATAAGTATTACCTTATATACTTTATAAGGCGCTGTTTAAATACGGTAAATATAAAGGCTATAGTAAATATCTAGGGCTTTATAAAGGGCCTAATTATAGAGCTCCGCGTGCTTAAAGTTTAGGTAGACTCTAAACTTAAATAGGGCCCGTATATACATATTATAAAGGAAAAGGCTATAGTATAAATAGGAGCCCTTATACGGCTAATAGTATTAATATAGGGCGTAAGCTTCTAAAAAGCATAGTATATATACTTAGTAGTTATTAGGCCGGTTCTTATATATAGGTGCACTACCTGGTTTCTAACGCTAGGTATAAAGGAATAAATTAGCAAAGCAAAAATTAAACAACTTAAAACAGCCTAGAACTACTGCCTTTATACTATTACAGGGGCGTATAAAACAATAGATATTAAGACGCTTAAATATAAGACCTTTTACCCCCCCCTAAGGCTTAAGCTAGAAGAACTCGCGGTAGCGTACGCGGACTGCACGCGCGCAGGCTAGGCTAGAAAGTATATTAAGACCACGTGCCGCACTATTAGAGACACTATTAGGAGATACTATAAGCCTAGGAAAACGCCTAAATATAAGCCGAGCCGGCGTAATATACTAAAGAGGCTCGCGGTTAAGGCTATAGCACTAGCCCTAAGGTATAAAGGGCAGTTAGACAACTTATATAAGCTTTTAAGATAAGGAGTAATATAGAAAGCGTATAAGGAAAAGTGGAGGGATAAATAGAAGGCCTACAGGAAGAAATAAAGGGGCCCCCCTACGCCGGCCCTTAATATAAAATAGAATAAAAATTAGGCAACTAAATACTATAAGCTTATAAAAGTAGAAAGCTTAATTATTACGCTCCTATAAACAGAATATATAGGGCTTAACGTATACCTGCACCGTATAAGGGTGCCTAATTACCCTTCGCCTGCGTGCTCCTGCGGGTATATACTATAGTCTCTAAAGTATATAGTAATATACTGCGAATAACACCGTAATAGCAGAGGCAATATATTCTTTAAGGCTAGAATAAGAATATATATACAGCTGTATAAAGACTATAAGGGAAATAAGGCCGTTTCGCAATAGTTCCTGCACTAAATAGACCTCCTACCCTACCTTTCTATAGCTAGAGAGATGGCAACGGAAAAGCTGGCTATACAGCCAGCCGACTCGTATAGCTACGCCCTAAGAACAGAACTATACGCACGCACGCACATTGCATAGCCACAGGCACGCCCGCAACAGGGCAACCCCCCTAATTTCCTATTGTCCTTTAATTTAATACCTCGGCTTTTAAGAAAAAGGGCACGCGCGTACGGTAAGGGCACGCGCGCCCTAACGCGGACCCCGGACCTTACTAACCTTCTGGACACCGTACAACCCTGGAACCTAGGGCCTACGGACACCGGATCGATCCTGGAGAATATATTAAGATGGCTTACTCCGTGGTGATGCTTACAGAGCTGCCACGCGTCCCCTACAGCCGCGCAGAAACAAAAGGAACGCAAGGCGTTATATACTGTAGAAAATAAGGTTTTCACCCGACCGCTATAGAGCGAACGGTTTCCCCTTGTAAATAAAACCTAGATAGCACTGCCGTATAGACCCTAACGGGAACTAAATCGGCCTAATAGAACCTAATAATAATAATAATAATAATAAGCGCTAATAATTAATATAGAGGAGGAAATATCCCTAAAGCCCTTTAGCTGGCTAAAGCGCGTGCGCAAGCGCTCTAAGCGATTTGAAAATTACGAAATTATTATAAATTAATTCTATAGCTTTATAAGCCTTTCCTTTTTAATTTTTATATATATACAACGTTATATTATATTATAAAGCTTTATATTATAATTAGTATTAATTTTAAAATTTATGCCTAAGGTAGTCCGAACTTCTAACGCTTAGCTTCGACTAGCGTAGCTTATCTAATTTTGTAATGAAATCATACTATAGTTAACTAACTACTGAGATTTCCCCCCCTGATTTCGAGATTTTCCTCCCCGATTTCGGGATTTTCCTCCCCGATTTCGAGATTTCCCTCCCCGATTTTGAGATTTTAACCCCGTCTAAGATTTCCCCCCCGCTAAGGTAATTATAGAATTTTATCGCTTTCTTCGACCTAGCGTTTATATATAAATTATTCTATAAGATGCTTATCGTCAACAATATCCCTTAGTCTTAGCCTAGGTAGTAGCCTATAGCAACTAGCTAATTAAGAAGATAAGCACCTAGATACACCTATTTTCTAGGTACCTTATAGTGTTGACGATAAGCATCTTATAGTGTCGACGATGAGCATTTCGCAGCGTCGACGATAATATAGTTATAGGCTAGGTTGAAGAAAGCGATAAAATTCTATAATTACCTTGGCGGGGGAAAAATCTCTATACGGGGTTAAAATCTCAAAATCGGGGCAAAATCTCAGCAGCCAAACTTAAAACCTGAAACTTAAAGTCGCCTAGCTTTACGTAACTTTTACGCTACACTCTGTGAATTGCGCCACACTCTCTCTTAGCCTTCGGTCCCTATAACGTTACTGGTTGAGACCCACTGTGAGGCGAATCAGCACCTCACGTCTCAAGTCTTCAAGCCTCAGAGGCCGGAGCCAGTGCCGCCATCCTCAAGTCTCAAGCTTAAAGTCCTTCCTCATTGTTCCTCAAGGCTCCTCCGGCAAGCCAGGGCCTGGCACCGGCTGCGCTTCCTGTAAGACTAATGTGGGTCCTGGTGTCGCGAGCCGCCCGGTGTCACGAGCTAAAGCATCAGTACTTCGTCTTTAGAATTATTTCCTTTACCCTACAAATCCTGTAATTCGGCTATCCCAGGACTGTTGAGATGCTTTTCAACTGAACATTACCCTAGGATTGTTGTCGTGTCGTCTGGTTTGCAAACAGCCTTCTTTCAGTACTATTTGAGATACGATTATATAAATCCACCAATAAGCCCATACTAGTATCACAGTGGGAACGCCGCACGACCAACGAGTAAGGATTGGCTTCCGGGCCTTTACACGCACCTCAATACAGCCTAGCGGGTCCAAGCACGCCCAGCCGAAATGGCTCGTTATATTAACGGTATTCTCCTCCACTCTCGGCGTGCCTCTGCCCAGTCTTTGAGGAAGATCCATCCGAGCTCCCGGCGATACGCATACTGACCGCGCCAGCCGATCAAGAGCACATTGACAATTGGTATATGACGCAATTTGTCGCCCTTGTTATTGTGATATCGCCTGACTTGCAGTTCTTCACTTTCCATAAGCCATCTCCCGGTGTGCCCCGACAACGATAGGGCGATAAATTCGTGCTTCGTGCTCTTGTGGTCTCTTCCGGAACGCAATTCTCTGACGAGCGATTCACAATGTCCACAAAGGCCACCAATCTTCTCTGCCGCTTCGTTGAATATGCCCGGCCCAGAGTACCTACTCGGCATTTTATCGTCTGAGTCAAGTCGTAATAATGCGCTCTGGGTGAGAGTAATTATGAGCACACGATTGATGAATTTCATATCCATATTGTCGCTTTGGTCCAACTCGAATGGCTTCTCGACTTGCTCTGAAATGCATTGCTCGGCACATTGTGCAGCCTGGACGCAGAATGCATTGTAAGTCACCCAGTACCTGTTGAAAGTATCCTGAAAAGTTCGGGAATCTTGGTCATGGCGCCGCAAAGACAAAGGATCAATTGACGTACACCCCTCGCTTACTGCGTTAGCCATAATTAGGGCCCAATCGTCGTCTACTTCTGTTTCGGGGATCAGGTTGATCGGTTTTCGCTGCACAAACCCTGAAGAACAGTCACTGATGTCGTACCAAAATGCCAGAGCTCCATAGAATTTTCTTGAATGATACTTCATAGCATCTCCACGGCACATACGTGACAGCCACGTCCAGGTAGGCGTCACCTGAAGCGTCCCTTCTCCAGGAGAAAGTGAGGATCGCCCATCCAGCGACCACCAGAGCATAGCTTGGTCAAATTGGACCAGGGGTAGACCTTGAATGAAATTCCCTCTGTGGCCATACAGAGCGTTGGATATTCCTTTGAAAGCATTGTTTGCGTCCGATCGATACGACAGCATTCTGGATGTGTACATTCGGAGATGGCGAGAAAAGGCTTGAAAACGTGATTTATCAGAAGGTAGATAAAGGCCATCCGATAGGTGCTTCTTTAAGCCAACCTCCTGGTTGTATCGGTCTTCGTGGAAGGTCGATGATCCACACTCCAAGTACGCTCGGCTGTTGGTAAAATAAAGCCGCCTCCTTGCGAGGGCACCTTCCTGATAAGTCCAGCCGCGAGTATACCAGACAGCGAGAGGATCGTTTTGTCTTTCCCGCAAGATGTTTGTGAATCGATATCCGTAGATATCGACTGAATGTTGAAATTTCTCTCGAGCGACGCGTACGCCACTAAGTCCATAGTCCATGTTATCTCCATAGGCAGCAATGATGACGAAATTAGCAGCCGAGTAAATACCACCCATGGTATCGATCTGCCGTTTCTTATCCTCTTCGTCGTCTTGAAGGATGCATAGACGATCCACCCACAGAAACTGCTCTCCTAACTGTTCACATACTAGCATGGCATCTTCAATTGTTCGAGGAACATGTCGTTCTGGCAGGCCGCCATGTTTCATCATCGCTTGAATGGTGTCTCGAGTCGCTGTGAGGAAGGAGGGGTAATTGGCTGAGCCCCATACATAGCTCAGGGCGACAAAAGGATCGTTGCGTGTCTCAACAACGCACCTACGACGCACGTCGATGACTCTGAAATTTTTCGGTAGAACTGCTCCGTTATCTCTTCGGCAGAGAACGTGGTGCTCTTCGCATTCGTCGAGTGCTAATTTCAGTCTTCTCCATGAGACGAACCCTTCGACTTGGGGCAAATCAATGCCTGCCATTTGTAAGACCGGCAATTTTTTTTGGATGTTAAAAGAAAGAATACCTTGCTTCAGATCCCTAATCTGTAAGTCACCGACCCCCAGAATGCCGCCGGAGGCACCTTCAGTCGTCTCCATATCGACTGAGATATCGGCCAGGTGTATGCCTTCGGAAGCCCGCGGTTGCCCTCCATGCGGATCTAGATTGAGATATAATACAGGGAATTGGGTTTGAATGTCTAACAATTGGAATAAATCAAACGCGCTGGTCAGCGTCGCTTTGATGATACGGCAGAAGGAGCACCGTATTTCTCCAGCCTCCTCCAGCAATATCATTGGCAAAGGAAGCAACCTTTCTGGCCTTAACTCGTGATCCACACATCTCAAAAGGTGCCAAACTCGTAGATGTTGACATTGGTCGCACAATAGAGGATCGGGATCGGGCTTTGCCACAGGGCAACTCGAACAAGGCTGGTGGAACAACCGCTCGAAATACGGTCTAACAAGGGGGCCAACAGACTCTACAGGTGGACAGTAGTAGCATTCATTATTGATGAGCTCGTGCTGATCCGTCATAGCTGTCTCGTTGGAGGATGCGATGGAGAACTGTGGTAGGGTGTTATCGGACTCTACAGCTAGATAGTGGTGGTAGCATCCATCACTGATGAGCTCGTGCAGATCCGTCATAGCTGTCTCGTTGGAGGATGTGACGGAGGACTGTGGCAGGGTGTAACAACAACAAGAGTAGATCGCAGAACCAACCGAAGCGTGGGTTAGTCTCAAGTTTCAGCGAACCAAGAGAAGCGATCCAGATCACGTGATGACGTTTGTGCCAAGAATTCCGGAAAGCGACTCTGCACGCCGCCACGCCGCCGTATCAGCAATGATGGAACTGTTCAAAGCTAAGGATCATTGTTGCTATCCTGATTCATGACCGAACATACTGGATAGAGCGGTTTAGCGGTGACTTGGACGCTGCAAAAGCTGTTTGTCAAATGGACCTATGAGGAGATAATTACCTTATGTTTGCAGTGTCTGAATTGCTATGAATACGAAGTACCCGAAATTTGGCTCAGCACGGCGGGCGGCTCGCCTCACCGGGATGGATGTTACCGCAGCCACAGCGTTCCGAAAAGAACCAATTATGTAAGTTACATTACATTTTCCTCGTCATGTGGGACGCGCCGGTGGCGTTGAGGAATGTACCAGGATCATATCGCTTTTGATTGGAAGGTACCGATCAACGTGGCGGCGTGGCATGAACCAGGGCGGCCACAGGGCTGATAACGACTTATCAACGTGCTAGTGAGGCTTCAAGGCTCGAATGCTACCATGTTATGCCTGTTAGGAGGGATAAGAGCCCATAGTGAAGCTGTGATAGAGGTGTCCCAAAGGATAGCTCTGCGTAAAGCATATACGCGCTAAGGGCATCGCACGTGCCTCGCCCGCAGCCATAGGTAAAACCCCACAGCTACCTAAATCCTCGTTTCTTGAGGATTCGTCTCGTCTCTTAATATACCCAATTCTAGCCTTTAAGCCCCTGCTAGTGCTTCGCATGACATTCGTAGTTAGCGCGGTAGATCACGATTAGTCAGCCTTGCGATTAATCTTAAGGGCAGCGATCCACTCGTTAGGGAACCGGATCGCAGCTTTAAACAGGTAAGTCCGAGTCTTATTATATCCCCTTTTGGCCTTGATGTTTAAATTCATGACAGATTATCAATACCTCCCTCCGTGATGCCACGAACCTTCCCGGCGATATCCATCCTCGAGGTGGAGCGAAAATTCCGCTCGCTTGCAGTGCAGGAACTGGCCGCAAATAACGGAAACCCTCCGTTCAAGAGCATTTAATCACTAGGCCAGCGAATCATACATAACGAGTACTTCGATCGATCGAGCCTTCTCTCTTTAGCAGGCATTTGGGTTAGGCAACGGAACGGACAATGGGAGGCAAAGGTCAAAAAGGGCGGCAACTTCACCAATTCGAGATTTGAGGAGCTTTTAGATCCTCGCGATATCTCAAAATGCATTAAGGATCTCACGGGAATTGGATACACAGAACAAGAAACGTTTGGACTCGAGCGGATTGCAATTCTCTCCACGACGCGGAAAGCCTGGGTAGCCGATAATGAATTTAGAATTGTGTTGGACACTATAGACTTCGGTCACACCGTTGGCGAAGTTAAGTTACAGCATCAGGTAAATTTCGAGGCCACGTCGGGTTTGTCTATTGAACAACAGAAGCAGAGATCAATGCAAGCGATGGACGATAGGGTTGCCAAGTTTATGGAACGATATGCATGGGCATTTTGCCAAGGGGTGCCAAAAGGGAAACTGACGGCGTATTTTGAGCGCAACGCTATTTAAAGTGTTGGTTGGCCGAAAACGTTCGATACACTAGTCATCTCACTATTTTCACACGTCGCTGATTAAAAGTAGAGGACACGGATGGATAATCGGATTGAGCTTTCAGGTGTATCGGCCATGGATGTAACACGGGACGAAGGTAGGTCTCGAGCGCATCCTCCAGTCTCAATCCTCCAGTCCACCACCTGCCTCCACCAACTTACGCGTTTCCCAGCCCTCATACCAGTATTGGACACGGGAGCCGAAGTGAACCTTGACAATACGTGTAGTCCACGTAATTAGTCTGCCGGTAAAGAAATTGTTCAGAACTCGATAAAGACTTTATAAGTAGTTTCCGGTTTATTGCCGGTCCAGTACAGTAGAAACAATATGCGCTTATCACAGGGTCTACTATCCATGCTAAATCTCTGACCATTGTACTAGCGTTTTAATCGCTCCTAAGCCGAGTATTTATGCGCAGGTCTGGCTTGATACATGTTGAAATAGAGCAGAGAGCTTTGAGAAACCTTCCTCGCACTCTAGGCATCGGAATGGAGTTGGCTCTTTGTACTTATCGCGGAGATCTTGCCCACTCAGCATCGCATTCTGATAGTCCTCGTTGATGAACTGCTGCCATTAGTAACACTTTACCGCAGTCTTGTTAAGATCCAGCGTGTCAATTCCTAAGCTGCAGTATCCGGATTCTAAATGAAGAATTATATAAGGAAACGTCTTATATGTTTTATAACAGCCGTAACACTCGAGAGAGCGGGGCATATAAACGAATTTGTGCTAGTTAAGCTTGTTAGTAAGAGGGCTGAGAAAAATAAGTCGTAATCATCTTACGTTTTTAAGGTTGCTCGGGCTTTCAAAGTGCTGTCCGCACTGTTCGCAAACGTTTTCTTCTTTAAGATGATCTTGATACTCTTTACTTTCTGGATCCCATATTATCCCATTACCCTTATCACAACCCATGCACACAGTCCTATGCAAAGTGGATTGATGGTGTTTAAGCAGCTTATCCCAAGTCTTGCTATCAAAAGGGCAGACGGGGCACCGGTTGTGACTAATCGAGTCATTATAGTGCTGCTGTATTGAAGAGGCCCTTTGGGAATGCTTTCGACAGCGATCGCAGTATAGGCTAGAAATGTTTTGAAGACGTTAGCAAGGTTCTTGAGCTTGTTTAAAGTCTCGGACATACCTGTTGGCCATCGTTTGGAGATAGTGCGGCGATAGATCTAGTCTGTCAGAGCAGTGAGCGATAGCAGGTAGGTGTGGGGTAGCCTAGCCCTAAATTTAGACACCAGCTGACTTCAAGCCATGCTGCAGCCCTAAATTTAGATACCAGCGCTTCACAACCTAATTGCAACGAACGCTGTAGAACCCGTGCCGCCTTACCCCACTATCATCAGCATACAAGGCACATGTTATGAAAATATATTGAAAAGAATACTCGTCAAGGGCAACTCAAGCCAATCTACCACTAGCATTATACTACTTACATCTAGTTAGAGGTGTAGCAGCGCAGATTTACGTAGCGCCTACGAGACAGTACCGTGGACCTCATGAGCATGTCGTTGCCAGTGCATCTTGTCGTCCAGGTTGACCTGGCAAAGATCGCATCTCATAATTCCTAGGTGCTTGTTCTTGAAATGTTTGCTGAGGTCGCCCGAGGTATAAAATAAGTGTATGCGCACATCTGTTGGCAGATTTTCTTTACCCAGGCAAACGAAACATATCCTCGGCCTCGTCTCTTTATACACAGACACCTTGGCTGCTTCCAGCGCTTGTGCAGATAGGTCCACATATTTGCTCTTGCCTGGTGGCGTGATGCAACCGCTCGATCGTTGGAGTCGAACAGCGTGCATTCCGCCCTCTTCAACCCCACAATATTCCGTGACGGCTTGGATGGCTCTATTGCGCCGGCGTATCTCTGCTTCCAGAGTGACTCCCGGCGGGGCCATGATAGCGTCAGCCAGCTTTTTCTGTGCCGGGAGCATAGCAAACTGAGGCTGTACGACGTCCTTAATTTCGATGCCGGCAATCTGCTGCTCAACATCACGCAAGGGTTGCTCGTATTCCCAGCGTTTCTTGATCTCCTCACGAAGGGCCCGTCGCTGGAACTGTCTTTCCTGGTTGATTTTGCCATTATGCTTTTTATACATTGGATGTTTTATGGCATTCGGGAGGGTACGTTTAAGTCTCTTTCGTTCTTGGAGCAGGTTACGGACTGCAGGATAATTATTCACTAATGCAGATTATTCTGGAGTAAGCTGTCGGGGCCGTTGAGGATCAATCGAGCAACTTATAGTACAAGCTGCTCGCATTAATGCGTCCTGCGGCTAGAGGCCTCGCACAACAGCTTGTGTGTCTACCGTAATGCGTTGCGAGAGATAGTGCTTTACAAACGTCCGGATATCGCTGTGCGTTATTATAAGGTTTTGCATTTTAGGGCTAACAGTGCCTATGCATTGCATTAATGTTACGTCTTCCTAATAATAGGTAGGGCTAAGCTTACTATTTTCATTAAAGGCCTTCCCTCTATTACGTCTCTATGCATAGGGAGAGGTGATTTAGGCAAAGTTTGAAATTTCCCTACCCCTTTAACCCAGGGCAGCAACATAGAGTACCGAAGAGGCTGGTTGCAAGAAATCTCCCAGCTATTTAGGGTCTTTACGGGTTGCTAAAGTACTAGGATATTATCTAATGCCTTATTAAGGCGTAATAGTAGCTTATTACGCCCTAGTAGAATATAGAGCCTAGTTAATTCCTTTTAGGATATAAAATTATATACTGTAAATACCTTATTATAGAAGAGCACTTTAAGGAAAAGAATATATAGACTAAAAATAAGGGATTTATTATAGATAATTTCAGGAATAGGGAAGTATTATAAACCCTAATATAAACCACCTAAATACTAAGACACTTAAGGAGATAAGGAAGCAGATTAGACTAATAATATAAGAACGAACTATAGGACCTCGAGGAATAAGGGTTAGTTAAATAGGGATCCTGGATTCCCCTATAGATTGCTAGTAGATAGAAATAATTTAGGGACAGCACCTAATAGAAGGTTACGTGCAGAATTATTACTAAATTATAGTAATCTAGGAATAAGTGCAGGATTATTACTAAATTATAGCAATTTAGGAATAAGTGCAGAATTATTACTAAATTATAGCAATTTAGGAATAAGTATAGGTTTCTTAGAACGGAGCTTTTATATATAAGAACGCTCCTTTATATAAATAGAAACCTTATATTTAACTTAAGACTTTAATACTACCTATTAGAAGTAATAACCCCGTTTTATACCTAAGATTAATCTTGCCTTATGTCACGTCGTTCCTTAGCATTCTCTTGGTAGTCATCGAGGCCGCAGGTCATCACGTGCACGGACGTCACGTGATCGCGGGCCGAGGGTTCTTCCGCCGCCCGGGGTTCTGCCGGCGCGCGCTACATAGCAGGCTCGTGGCCGGAGCCTCTCTTCTCTCCACGCAACCTCGTTAATAGCAATACAACCCTTTTCCAGCCACGAACCTGACACTAGGTTGCGTCGTTCTTTGAAACTCAGAAACACAGAAACCTCAATTTCTTCTCGCACGGCTGTACCGCCGTGCGCGCGCGCACCTATACAGGTGCCGCTGGCCTTGAGAATTGGCCATACAATCACTAACCTCTCCCACTAACACGTTTCCTCTTCTCATTCACTCACTCACTCACTCATTTCCTACACTCGCATGAAGCCTAGGCCTCATCACAAGCAATCAGATATGCCCGACCAGTTCGATACGCCCGGCAGTGGGCAACTCCATAACTCCAACATTCCACAAGGTGCTAGGGGAGTTGGTCACCAGGGCGGTTACAACACACAAGATGATATCTTCGAGGACGACGATGGAGATGGAGTACCACAGGTGCTCTTCACTCGATCATCCTCACGCGAGAAGAATTGCAACAACAAGCGGCGCAAACGCATTAGTGAAATACTCAACACCGTTATTAAAAATGCCTACCCGGACACTTAGGAGCCCACTACTATCGCAGGCGATTCCCAGCCGGACGGCGAGAACCACATCAGCCTGGACCTCCTCCTTGATTTGCACGACATTAACGCCCTTATTAAATAAATAGGGGCTACGCAGTTCCAGAACTCTATACAGCTCCAGGCGTGGATTAATTAGAACCCCTGCCTAGCCTTCCGCTTGTTACACTCTCTTATAGAGAGCACTATAATCTGCATTAATAAGTATAGGGTCGCTATAAAGGAATAGAAGGCAATATCGGACCAGCTATATACTAAGTATAATAAAATAGATAAAGAGATTACTACCTTAAAAACCAGCCTTAATTAAGCAAATATTAACCTCTAAGCTGCTAAGTTGCACACGTATAACCTCTAATAATAATAATAGTCTAAGCCTGCTATTTGTCACGGTCTCGGGCGGCAGGATTGCCCTAGCTAGCTCGGGCAGGTAGGTAGAAGTAATAACTGAATTCACTACGTGTTCTATAATGCACGGCAGGCAGGCGGGTTGAATAACAAGACGTAGCTCAAGGAGCTACAAGGAGGCAGGGCGGCGGTCGGCAGGTATACTCCTGCCAAGGCTCGCATAGGCCCTTGCAACAAGGCCTCTCGCCGGGTCCTAACATCACGTGTTACGCTGTGCAGCAAGCTTCACCGTTCAAGCCGTGACAGTACTCCCCTCCTTACGGCCGAACTCCGTTGAGGCCTAAGGACCGGGCTTTTCAGGGTAACGGCGATGGAACGACCGGATAGCTTCCTCGGCATGTTCCAGATAGTCAGCGGGCTCTTCTGTGACTTCGTTGTATCCGGTCCACTTCACCGTGTACTTCAGGCGGGGGCGGCCACGACCGCAACGCTCCCATCGAGAGTCGACAACTTCCTCGACTTCCCACTCCTCCAAGCCTTCAACTTCAACTGGCGGCGGTGGTTCTTGACGCTGGCCGGGCAGCGGATTATTTGCGGCAGGTCTTAGTAAACTAACGTGGAAGACGTTGTGGTTGCGCATGCTCTCCGGTAAGGTTAGGCGGTATGCGTAAGGGCTGACGACCTTTTCTACGCGGAACAGTCCAAGATTCTTCCAATCTAGCTTCTTCTAGGGGCGGAGGGTCTTAATATTCTTAGCATTTAACTATACTAAGTTGTTAACTTAATAGTTACAAGCAGGGCAACAGTTACAGTTTGCATTATCCTTATATCGGGCACAGAAGGCAGTAAGTTCAGACTTTAGATGTTCCAGAATCTCTTCTATATGCTTGGCAAAGCGCTCAGCGTCTCTAGCAGGCGGGCGGGTTGACAGTTCAACCGGCTTAAAACCTAGATATAGGTGGAAGCCGTAGTTTGCAAAGAAGGGGGAGATACGGGTGCTCTTAGAATTTACAGTATTAATTAACAGTTTAGCTAAAGGCAGCTATTCGGCCTAGTTATCCTGCAAATAGGATATATATGCCCGTAAGTACTATTCCAGGACAGCGTTAGCTCTCTCGGTCTAGCTATCGGTTTTAGGGTGGTATACAGTTAATAGTAGGCAGTTAATCCTTAGGCGGCTAGTTAGGTGTCTCCAGAATTTAGCTATAAACTGGGGCCCTTAGTTAGATATAATAGAGGCAGGCAGGCTGTATAGTTTCTAGATATTCTTTAGGAAAAGTTTTATAATATCTTCCGCGTTGCAGGTCCCTTTACAGGCAAGGAAGTATTTTATCTTAGTTAGGCGGTCCACTATAATAAGGATTATATTATGCTTTCCGCTACGCGGCAGGTGCGTAATAAAATCTATTAATATATTACGCCAGGCTTTTTTAGGAATAGGCAGCAGCTTTAGAATACCCTAGTAGGCTTCTTATAATAGAGTAGTTCTTTTATATATCTAGCAGTTCCTAACCTAATAGTCTATATAAGGTAGTATTCCGGGCTAGTAGTAACTGCGGGCTATTAGGCTGTATATTTTAGATTTTCTAGAGTAGCCGGTAATAGCGTTCCTGTAGTATATACGCAGAAGTTCTACTTTTAGTTTATTATAGTCGGGTATATATAGGCAGTTCCGATAGTATAGGTATCCACCTTTTTTCTAGTATTTAGCTAATATAAGCTTTATATAATAGTAGTATTCTTTTTCTAAGGCTTTTAGAACTAATAGCAGGACAGGGTTTTCTTTATATACTATTTTTAGCAGGGCGGCAATTATAAAGGGTAGTTCTATATCTTCCTTAGTTTCTTATTTATCTTGCGGGGTATTATCTAGGGGAGTTAGCAATAAGCCTTCTTACCGGGTCCTTACGGGTGCTAAAGCTATTATTTTAGCTTTATTTTTAAAGGTTACTTTTTTTATAGTTTTCTTTTCTATTTTATTCTTAAAGTTTAATTTCTTTAGAATTATCTAGCTTTAGTAGCAGAAATATTTATCCTTTTCCTTAGGCAGGTTCTCTAACCTCCTAGTTAGAAAATCGGGCTTTACCCTAAGTTTTCCGGGTTAATATATAATTTTAAAGTTAAAATAGGACAGAAATTTAGACTAGCAGGCCTAGCGGTAGTTTAGTAGTTTTATTATTATAAAGTAGTTAGTAATAACTTTAATAGGTAAGGCGGCGCTTTTAAGCTCTAGTCTCTATTTTTTAAAGTATTAAATAATAGTAAGCAGTTCTTTATTATATATTTTATAGTTGTATTCTGCAACTAAGTGCTTCTTTAAAAAGAATATAATAGGGCGCAGGATTCCGTCGTCTCTATACTATAATAAAACGCCAGCTAAAATATAATTAGATATATCTATTTCTATAATAATAGGCTTATTCTAGTTAAACAGTGCTAGAATAGGTGCAGAGGTAAAGGCTTCTTTTAATTTAGTAAAAGCTTTCTAACAGGCAGTATTCTATATAAAGGCAACGCCCTTCTTTATTAGGTATACTAGCAGAGCAATAATTTTTAAGAAGTTTCTAATAAATTAGCGGTAAAAGTTTCTAAATCCTATAAAAGCTTATATATTAGTTAGGCGAGTTAGTATCTCCTAGTTTATTACAGCTTTAATCTTTTCTAGGTCTATTTACAGGCTATTAGCTCCTATAATAATACCTAGGAATATTATTTCTTTAGTAAAAAACTTATATTTTTTAATCTTTACGTAGAGTTCTACTTTTTATAGCAGTTTTAGTATAATATAGATATACTCTAGGTATTTAGTATAGAAAATATTAAGATGCTCTTATAGAGTATTATTTATAAATTATTAGAATATTATAGGGGCTCTAGTAAGCCTAAACAGTATTACTAAGGTTTTAAACAGTTCTAGTCGGGTTTAGAATATAGTAAGCTATTCTTAACCCTTTTTTATATATAGGTTATTAAAGGCAGATATAATATTAATTTTTATAAAGTACTTTATCCTCTTTAGGTTGCTTAAGGTTTCCTTTATTAATAGTAGCAGGTAGCGGTCCTTAACTATTATAGTATTTAGCGCTTAGTAGTTAACGTAGAAGCAGAGGCCTTTTCTAGGCTTTTTTATAAATAACACAGGTAACGCGGCAGGCAAAGAGCTAGGGCGGATAAATCCTTTCTTTAGATTATCTGCTACCTATTCTTTTAGAGCTATTAGCTTATTATAGAATATTAGGTATAAGGGTCTAAAAAAGGGCGTTTTTCCTTTTTCTAACTTAATTTTATAGTTATACGGGCGGTATAGTAGCAGGCAGTTAGTATTTTTAGGCGAAAAAATATTAGTAAACTTTTATAGTTTTTTAGGCAGGCAGTTTAGGTTAAAGCCCTTTTTTTTAGATAGGATATAGTTAATATTATCTAGTAATATAGAGAAGAGTTTATATTCTCTTTATAGGTAGGCGCTATATACGCATAAGGAAACAGGTGCTATATTTTTCCTTTCTAGGTTTTTTAGTGCAGGCGGCAGGTACTCCAGGCAGTTCTTTTTTAGAATATTAGCAATTCCTTATATATATATTGCTCTTTGCGGTATATTATAGTATTTATAACAGTACTAGCTTATAAACTATAGCGTATTGCGGGACTAGTCTAGTACAGGATTATACAGGCGTAGCTATAGGATTTCTAGAATAATTAGGTAATAACTTAGTTTAGTTACCCCTATTTAAACAGTCTCTAAATATTTATTTATCCGTAATTAAACCTAAATAGTATAGGTTACTTTACCTGCTTTAGAATTACCTCTATCGGCCAGTTTTAGGTAAAAAGGGTACTTAAGCGGAATTATTAGGATATAGTAATACTTTACCTAGTTTTTATTAACTAGCACTTTCCCTTTATAGCTACTATTAATTATACTATACGCTAGAATACTCTAGCCCTAGTATTCTAAATATATAGGTATAATTAACAGGTTAGCTTTTATAACCTATTTCTCTTTAATAGTTATCCTTTAAATAGCAGCAGCGGATACTTATATAGTGCGCGGTATATAAGCCTAGCTATAACCTATATTAGGCTTAATCCTTTTATTAAAGCAGAAAATAGGGGAAAAGCAGGTTTTAGCAGTATCCGGGTTCTATATTTAGTAGAAGGCGGTAAAGGGCTCCGGAAGAATATATTTTTATAAACAGGGCGGGAGCGGATAAAGTGTTTATTAGGCTAAGGGTAGTTATAGATAAAGTATTTCTTAGATCTATAATAGTAATATTTCTTTCTTTTATATTAAGTTAAGCAACCTCTTAAAAAATCTATTAGGTTTCCGGAGACTTCTATAATTTTTATAGCGCTGGATACTTTTAGTAATAACTAGGGTATAGCAGTTTATATTCCTATAGGAACAGGTGTTTCCTAATAGGTTTAATTTATATTAGTATATATTTTTAGGGTTGCAGTAGTAAACACTTTATATTATTTGCGGCGGTTATTTAGGTTTTAAAGGAACTTTGTAAATATATAGTACTCCCTGCTAGAGGGTTTATAGTAGAGTAGTATTTCCTTTAGTTTACGGTTAACAGCTTTTTCTAAAAGGGTTAGTAGAGCTTTTTTAAAAAGCTCTTTTTCTAAAGCTAGGCGTTAGAATTTAGTAAGAAAAATACTAAATTCTTTATTATTCTAGCGGAGGCGGAATAGTTTAGTGCGGGAGTTGCGGACTTAGTTAGGGTTTCTATATACTTATTCTAAAAGTCCTAGAATAGCTTTAAAATTAGGTAGTTAATAGTTTTCTTTTATAATATACAGCAGAACTTAGGCGTATAGGT